ACTTGTGCGTGGAACTGCCCGCACGTCCCGGCTCCCTCGGGGTCCTCCTGCCAAGTGACCAGCGGCTCCTGGTGCTGGGCCTGTGCCCTGTTGGGACCCAGTTTGCGGCTGCTGCTGCTGTTCCTGCTGCTGCTGCTGCTGCTGTCCCTGCTGCTGCTGCTGTTCCTGCTGCTGCTGCTGCTTCTGTCCCTGCTGCTGCTGCTGTTGCTGCTGGTGCTACTGCTGCGAAGGATGAATTCCCGCAAGCGCAGACTCCTCTTGGTTGGGCGTCTGCCTCGACTCCGTTGACCTGCGAACCCGTTTCGCTAGGGGGCTGGTCGAGCCTTCCATCTGGAGAGATCCTGTGCTAGTGGGTGGCGTCTTATGCTCCCTACTGCGGCTGTCGGGGCTGTGCACTGCTGTGGAAGGGGCCGTCCCCAGTTCGTATAGGTTTTGTGGGCTTGCATGTCCCCCCCCCAAACATGCATAATTTTCGACGGTTTCAGGCATTTTTTTGTTACGGTTCAGAGGCCTATTTTTACCAGGCTTGTCTGGGTACCCTCAAACAACGAACGTTATTAATTATCACCGAATCTCCAATCTCCCGATCTACAATTTGTTGTTTGATCTGTGAACTTGAAACAAAAGAGTCAAAAGACCAAGAGGCTTTGAAGGGGATATAGAAGCTCTGTTTTGTTTACAATGAGCTGTCTGAGCGTCTGAGCCACCCCTTACCCCCATTTCACTCGTGCATAATCACCGCTATGCACGATAACCCCTGTTATGCACACTTTTTCGGGTTCTACGTTGAACCACACTCGTGTCGAAGGTGGCCTTTCGCACGGTTTGTGTTACAGACAGCAGCAGTTGAGAACAAGTCGTGTCCCCAATGCTAGCAACTCATTTCACGGCCTAGGACTTGCACATGGCGCGCACAGTCTCCGCCGGGACCCCATCAGTTCCGTCTTCGACGTAGACCTGTGCGGCAGCTCTCATGCAGGCACCCGCGGTACACTGGTTGTCCATGCCTTTGCAAAGGAGATCCGCGGAGGCCTCGTAGTAGACCTGATAGCGGACCCTGTTGGCCAAGCAATATCCGGCGTCGCCGTCTCTTGACACCTGGCGGTCCAGAACTTTCTGCACGGAAAGTTTGCACGGAAAAGATGGAGGACATCGGCGTGGTTATCTGTATTCTGTTCTGCCAGGTGCTGCGTACTACCGCCTCGCGCGAGGTGTGCTACGATGGAATGTACCGTAGGCTACCATAGACAGTACATTTGGGCCGAATTATTTCATAGCGGCAGCAAGTGTGGCAGCTCCGAAAAAGGAGGCGCTGGATCCGCTACCTGTCGACAACCTACGAAAAATTGGCGTTTGGGGAATGCCTTCTCGTGATGGCTGTATGGAGCTTTACAAATCGAAAAGGGAGGGGGGGGGGGGGGGCACTCA